ATATATATATATATATATAATTTTTTTTTTTGGTGAGTTTTGTCTCAAGCCTTTGACAAAACATCAGCTAGAAGAAGAAAAGATGAAGAGAATGATAGAGAATTCTTACATGGTAAGATGTTTGGATATCTGTTCTTCTCCTTGTTTTCATCTTTATTGGCCTCTTCACATGTTCCTTGAGTCGAACCCCCTGGTAATGACTGTCAACGATACAAATTAAACATAAGCACATCTGATCTTGGATGCCAAATCGAATAAACCTTTATTTGGATTTGACACTGTCAGGGAATAACAGATGCTGTAAACTTTCTGCTTAATTAAAAGTATTTTGTACATTAAATTCAACTGACACTCATTGCAAACTGTGCGTACTCTTGTCTGTAGATCACGCACCTGAGACATTATTTGATTTCATTTAATTTGAATGCACTTGAATTGTTCCCTAACACATTCATTCCTACAGAATTGTGTATGCGAGCAAAACTGATCATGCTGTTCAAATTCCCACCAAACCTGGTGTTATTGCCTAAATTAATTATATTACTTGCACTTTATTCCTGTATGTATAGGTTATTGTTTAAACAGCAGATCCGCTTCCATTCTGACGTAAATAGTTTAAGTGGCCATTAAGATTGTTGAGCATAAACATGGTTTCCATGGGACAGAAAATTTGCAGGGTTCATTCTGTGTGTGTTCCTGAATCACGGGCCTGTGAGAGGAGCGAATCTTGAATCATGCGTCTAAAGCAGGAGAGAGGGGCTTTCTCGACTGACTCAATGCCTGATGACTCCTCAACATCTCAATTCCAGTAATTCTCAGTGGGAAATGCGAGCAGTTGAGCTGTCAGCGAATGTAGAAGGATATCTGCTGATCCATATGAATGTGTGTTTCTGCCAGTTAATAACAGCACCATATTGCACCATCAGCTTCTTTACAAAATAACAGTCTGCTACTAAACACACAGAAAAACCAGAACGACTGCTGAACTTTCAGCAGCATGAGTGATGTAATCAGCTTTTGCTGCAATTTTCAGATCATCGTGATTCGTGTTTTCATGGAAAATCAAGTAACTGATACTAATACCATCATATTAGTCTCTTAATATCAATTTGGTAACATTTTATTTTAAGAACCAATTCTCACTATTAACTAGCATGCATACTACCAGCATACTGACTGTTTATTAGTACTAATAAAGCACATATGTGACCCTGGACCACAAAACCTTAAGTTTTAAGTTGCTGGG